ACATTTTCTCATTTGCTTCTGCTTTTATTTCTTTTTCTGTCTTCATCTTGAATATTAACTTTGTTCCATATGAGCCCACAGCACATTCTCTTCCATAGACAACTAAACTAGAAGACAAAAGAGTCCTTTTCCCTAGTCACAGGCAAATAACGTTGGCTTAACTTTAATATTGTGCCCTTTTCTATGACAAATGCTATCTTTAAAACACACTTGCCCCGAGTTACATCTTCAACAGGAATTTTAAGCCACATACATGAAATTATTTTTTTCAGAAGTCCCAGTTCCTAGGATGACCATATTCAAAGATCACAAAATGGATTTTGAGGATTTTTTAAAAAAAATTTTGGCCTCCACATACTCTATTTAATGTGGTGACTGACTAATGTGACAAGCTGAGTATATATACTAATTATTTTCTCTTCAGGCCTACTGCCCCAATTAGGAAAACTAAAAACAATTGTTTTGACCTGGCCACAAAAGTCTGCTGGCTGGTGTATTACAGCAGTGACATGATATACATAAAGTTAATAAAAACTCATGAGAGTCATGTTCAGTGAAATGCTAGTGGTTAATGAGTATTTTAGTTGTGTGTCTCATAAATCAGTAAGCCTCATTTAGTTTCCATTTACATCAGACTTCAGAGTTTATTTGTTGATCTTGGGCTGAAATACTCTCTGCCCTTCACTGGAAATCAACAGGGATTTAGTACAGTTTGTTTAAAAATGACTTTTTTTTAAAAATTTTTACAAAAAAAAAAGATTTTGGCTTGTAACCTTGTTTAACCGATCCTCAGATGAAGAAAAGATAGGCACTCCCTTGGGAGAGGTGCTTTTCCTTTTTTTTAAAAAAACAGATCCTTTTTGTCTCCAAAGCAAATATTTGGTGTAGTTGGAGGTTCTGAGTGCACCACAAGAACATGCAAAATTGTCATTGATTACCTTAATTGTTTAAACTGTGATCTTTTTTTAAAGATAGTATTCTCTCTCATAGGGATTCTGTCATTAGCACGTATGCAGCTAAAGCAAGAGCTACGTACAAACTGTATCACTGAGTGAATATATATTTGTGTGTGTAGGATAAACTGCCTACTGCATTGATTTGTACAATGCTGGCTTTGTGTGTGCAGAAGATTTTGTAGGAAACTGCTGGCTGTCAAATGAGCGAGAAATGAAGAGTAAATCACAGTCATGCAAATGATGACAAATAAAAGTTGCTTCCATATGTCTGTCTTGTGAATTTATTATGGTATTACCTTATTTTTACAGACATCTGATTAACTCCATGGGGAGAAGGAGAGGTTTGAACCTTATTAAGTGTAATAAAGTGTTCAAAATATCTTTAGACCCTGAGTCAGTGAGAGCATTTGGGGGGAGAGAGGACCTGTATTTTATTTATTTTGTAGTCTTGAATGTATGTGTTACATTGTAAGAAGTTAAAAGGAATATTATATGAACAGCATTGGAAAGGTCTTGAAAAACACTATTTGCCTGTAGATGGTAGTTAACTATCAGGTGTCATACTGGGCCATGGGCAGCCAGGACTCGGGGTCACCCAGGGTCAGAAGAAGCAACCATGATCTGAGGAGAGCATGCAGAATCTGTGTGGGGGGGAGCCAGGAAGCTCTATCTTGGGAGCCAAGTCAGAGAGCCAGAGGGTCAGGCAGAGCATGGGGTCAGGAGGCCAGCTGGGTCATTTATCCAGGAGTTCAAACCAGAGTTGAGTCAGGGAGCCAAAGGATCAGGCCAGACTCTGAGTCTATGCACAAGCCAGGATAGGTAGCCAGAGAATCTGTCGGAGAGCCAGTGGAGACACAAGCTAAGGGTAAAGCAGCGCAGGTAAGAGATTGAGCCTGGTTGCTCAGACACTTTCCTCTTCCAAGTCAGGTTTTTTTTTAGGAAGGGGTAGAGGGTCATCTGACCCTCACTGGTCAGGGAGTGGGTGGGTGGTTGAGCCCAGATGGGTTCTGACCATCTATGTCCACCCCAATGTTCAGCTGAGGAGGTCATCTTCTTGTGTCTCCACACCACATTTGACCATTTTGTTACGTGCTTGTGCTGGTTTATTGTACTTTGTGAGATCTTTCATTGTATACGTGCCTACAAGTGGTGGGCATTGCAGCAGGTGGCACACATGCCTTCAAGCATGTGTTGCATAGTCTGAGGCTCTGTGCCGCAGTCACTGGTGGTTAAACCAATGGTATAGCCTCACTTCTTCATTAGTTCCTTGGAGTGTCCAGCTCTGGTATGTGGGTGGTTGAGACATCACCATTTTTGCCATGGTTCTTCAGCCCCTGGTGGTAAGGGCTCGGCCGCTGGAATGTCCATTTTTTTGCTGTCAGGGATTTTCTTCAGCCTCTCGTTCCACATCTGTAGTCATGTCTCCTTGATGTGGCATTGAGAGGTTGGGTGCTGGTGAAGAAGCTTCTGCATGACTTCAGACATTGTGAGCTGTGGCATGGTCATCAGTGGGCGTCTCACATCTTCACTTTGTCTTGATCATTCTATCCTGCTGGCCACCGCTCTTCTGATGTCAGGCGGAGCAATGCCAGCCAGCAGGTGCACACTGTTTAGACTGGTTTAGGTTGGTCATTTGTATAGATGTTATAAATTGGAACCTACACAATTGGCAATATTTGTGGAAACTGCAACATTGGTAGGTTCCCATGAAAAAGCGCACAATCAGTGAGTGTGTGTGTTGGTTGGGGGGGGGGAATGGGAGGGAACTGCAAACAAAGGCTGGGAAGCACTAGTGTCTTGAATATAGCATAAATACTCTCTGTTGGTGAGAGAACATCTGCATCTACATATACTGCTATATTATCTCCTACAGCAGCGTTTCTCAATCTGTGGGTCACAACTCAGAAGTGGGTCGCAAGAATATTTCAAAGGGTCATGAGCTGCAGCAGGCAGAGGGGCAGTGGGAAGGCGCCTGCCCCTTCCAGCAGGGGAAGGGGCAGAGGGAGCTGCGTGGCTAGGTTGGTGGCACTCAGGCCGGTGCCCGTGCTTGTAGGGGCAGAGTGGTCGGGAGATGCTGCTTGGGGGGCAGGAGGGGCCCTGACCAGGCTGCCTGGCACAGTGTGGGAGCCCCAGCTCAGGGAGGGGGGTGCCACAGACCTCTCCTCCTCCCTCCAGCCTGTGTTGGGGCCAGACTTGCTCTGCTGCTGCCTGCATGAGCCAGAGCTGCTGTAGCCACTGTGCTCCAGCCCAAGCAGGATGGGGGCAGCTGGGGACCCCTCCGCCAGGGCTGAGGAGAGCAGGGGCTATGGGTTGGGAGTGAGGGACACCAGCATGACCTTGGGGGTGCAGGGGACTGGAGGTTGGGACAGGCTGGTAGGAAAAAGGTTGAGAACCACTGTCCTACAAGACTGCTGTAACCTGGGCTCACTCGTAGTTTTTGGTCCTCAGAGGCTGACTTCGTGTGGATGCATTTAGTACTACTAACTACAGTGAGGTTGCACTTACAGTAGGATATTTTTATGCACATGACTTGTATAGTGGGTATGGTTTGGGTGGTGATAGCTGTAGTGCAGAGGCAGGGAGTCTTTCAGCTGGCAAAAGCTTTCTTTTCCTATGGCTAGACAGATAAGGCCTTCCTAAGAAAGGGGGAAGTGTTTTGAATAAAAATTTAGTATCACATTGTAACTTGTTCCTGTAGAATGAGATAACTGGTCATCAAAGCAGTGTCTGTCCTTGCAGTCCTCTCAGTCTTCACTGACCCTAGTCACCCAAATTGGAGCAATGCCCACCTATGCCTTCTTTGGTCAGTCAGAGTCTTGAACATGGTGATGCCTGTCTTTGTGGCTTTCTGGAGGAATTACTGTGCTGTGTATCAGGGAATAAACACACAACCCCTAAAAAATCCAAACTGGTATTGAATTGACACATTCTGAAAAACAGTGTTTGATAAGTGCATATCCCCTTGGTGGGTAGGTCTCTAAATACATACCTGCCAATATGTATTTAGCAACAGAAGTTCAAGGTCATGGGCAGCCTCTTCAAGGCTGTCAAGAGGTGGGGCTTTGCTACCCAAACAACCACCTCAGTGATCAAGGCTTCGAGACGTAGAGGATGGTTTCAGGTTAGATGTAAGGAAGAATTTCTTTACGGTAAGGGTGACCAGAATCTGAAATAGACTTTCCCAAGGAGGTGGTGCAGTCCCCAGCCTTGGAAGTCTTCAAGAGGAGACTGGACAGACACCTTGCTGGGATCATTTGATCTCAGCTATATTCCTGCCTAGAGCAGGGGGGTTGGACTTGATGATCTTTTAAGGTCCCTTCCAGCCCTTAATTTCTATGATTCTGTGTTTGTGCCTAGGAACAATGGAGCCATCCATATAGTGTCTAGGGATGACACTTTTCCCAGGACTTTGGTATGTATGGAATTTCAAAGACAACTTGTTGTGATACCTCAGCTTTCCCTCAACAATAGCTGTAATTTAAAATCTCCCCATGGGGCTGAGGATGAATTAGCCATACACAAGAATTAAGTTAATTTTATTTGCTTGTCATCCTAATTAATTGCACACCACAAAACTGGGTGTGTGGGGGCACACAGGTTTTCTTGTCTTGGATCTTGTAGGATCTGATCTGAAACCTGTTGCTGGCACAGGCTTTAATTTCCTTTTGGCTCTCAGCCAATGACTAGATGGAAATTCCACATGTGTTTGCAAAACAATAAGAAGAGAACATGTTTCTTTTAATTGTAGGATGGGTTTTCCCCTCTCTGTGAACTTGTGGCTGTTTGAAGCTTGGCCACTAGTTAGGTAGCTCCTAAGTTTGTAGTAAATACAATTTATTATCTGATAGTATCAGAAACAAACAGCACACACATATACATACATATTCTTTTTGCTCCTACAGGAAGGGTTATCTTTACATATGCAATGACTGGCCCCTGGACAGCATGAAGTCTTCAGTAAAGACTGAAGGGGATGACTTAGTATAATGTTAGCATGCATTTTCTGCATATGTTCTACATGAATGTTCATAATGTTTTCTTGGAGAATGTATGCCAGCCTGAGCCCATGGATAAAATTTTATTTGCATTTAGAAACTTTGGCCTGCCTTAGTTCCATATTTGGGAACTGTGCTTTGTTTCTAAAAGTAGAAATGAGAGTAAGGATGGAGGCTTCCTCTCGTTTTCACTCTAGTTTGTAGTATGAAAACCATTTTCAGAATGCTTACCAGCAGGGGGCACTCTCTGAACAGTCTTCCAGGACAGAGATTTTCTTCAGCTAAAAATCAGCTATTATCTTTCAAATGTGCAACTCTTACATAAGAGTCCAAAAAGCAACACATTAAGAAAAAATATAAATGAACATTACTTATGTAAAAAAGACAAAACTAAACAAAACAAAAAACCCTGGCAGCCATCTGACGGCAGATTCCACATTTAAAGAGTGCATTTTTTATTAATACGGATACATAGAGGACTTTGGTTTGATTCCCAGTCTATGTTCTTTCCCCTCTTCAAAGGTCTGCATTGGCTGAAAAGAAGGTAATATATTTTGGTGTTAATTCTCTTGCAGAATTAAGGAAGTTACATTTAAGTCATTTTTCCCATGATGGCTTGGGTTGTCAGAATCCTGTAAGTGGAAGTAATCTGCTGTAGGAAGAAATGGGGAGAGCCTAAAACTGTCCGGAAGCAAACCCAAATGGAACAAGGCTATGCTTTGAGACTAGTCACTGTGTGTGTTTTTCCACTTTTTTTTTAATATCTATTTTTAAAACTTTCCAGTTCACTTGCTTGGCTTGGATGGTGATTGCAAAAAGAGAGAATTGCATATGCTGATTAACTCAGTTTGTTCTCAAATAATGATGAAAATCCCACACTTTGATGTATAATTGCATTGACTTTGTGCTAGTGTATTTATTGCATTACTCCTTACACATAACATTGAAACTTAAGTCTCTGGTGACCATTTAGTTACAACAGGCAAGTCTATTTACAATAGAATAATGTAATAGCTAAGAAAATGAACTGCTATTTGGTGATATGTTCATTTGCATTTTACGATGATTAAAGTCATGAGGGGAGGAGGGGTCCCCCAAGGCTCCGTCCTTTGGCCTATACCCTTTAACATCTTTATTAACGATGTAGACATTGGTGTCAGAAGCAGACTGGCCAAGTTTGCCGATCACACCAAACTTTGGGATAAAGCATCCATGCCTGAGGATAGGCTGGTGATCTAAGTTGACTTCGACAGGCTCAGAAAATGGACGGATGAGAACCTGATGACATTCAACACTAAAAAATGCAAGGTACTCCACTTCAGGGGAAAAAAACCCCACAGCATGCTTATATGCTCAGCAGTGCTACGCTTGCTAGCACCATGGCCAAAAGGGACTTGGGGGCTATGACTGACCACAAGATGAATATGAGCCACCAATGCGATGTTGCAACTGGTAAAATGAGCAAAACTCTGGCTTGCATCCATAGATGCTTCTCTAGCAAATCTCAGGATGTCATCCTTCCACTGTACTCGGCCTTGAAGAGGCCACAGCTGGAGTACTGCATCCAATCTTGGGCTCCACAATTGAAAAAGGATGTGGAAAAGCTTGAGAGAGTCCAGAGGAGAGCCATGTGTATGATCAGAGGGCAGGAGAACAGGCCCTATGATGAGAGGCTGAAAGCCATGGGACTCTTCAGCTTAGAAAAACAGGCTCTGGGGGGACCTGGTGGCTGCCTATAAGTATATAAGGGGTGTGCATCAGGATCTGGGGGCACATCTGTTCACCAGAGCGCCCCAAGGGATGACAAGGTCAAATGGTCACAAGCTCCTCCAAGATGGTTTCAGGCTGGACATAAGGAAAAACTTCTTTACTGTCCGAGCTACAACAGGGTTTGAATTATGGGGGACTGGGTGCGGGGAGGCTGAGCCGCCCCCCCCCAAAGAGATGAGAGCCCCCCCAGTAAGATTTGAAAAACATAACCTGGGAGGGGGCTCTGATTTTATTAGGGCATCATGATGGGCAGCCCTCTGCCCCCCCCGGGCAAGAGTCAAAGTGTAATTCGAACCCTGGCTACAACATAGTGTTGAAGAAAAACTAGGAATGGTACTGTAGCATCCCAAAATTGCAGCCTGTGGAGCCAGCAGACATTGACAGTCTATTATCAGAAGATAAGTAATTAGCAATGCCAATGCTTTGGGATAATTTTAAGAAAGAAAAGGGAAGGGCTCCTCTTAGCTTCAAAAACTCTTGCAGCTTTGTATTGTCTACACTTTGCTTAGGCTGTTGTGAATGCATGGTAGATTATACAAGCAAACCACTGTTTAGGTGTCTGTCCATTTGCTTGCCCAAGCAACCCATGCAAGTACAAAATGATACTAATTGCATCTGCAGTTTGGGGGGGGGGTGTCACATTTTATGTTCCTGCACTGAATGTTTTTTTAAAGAGCTTGACCTTTAAGTTATTGCCACATGGCATGTGATTGTTGAGGTGAAAGCCAGCAGCCCACACCTCTGAGTTGTGGTTTGCATGCAAGCAGACACAGGAAGACTGTCCTGAAGTGGTTCCACTTTTGAAGGTTATGTTTGCACTCAGAAGAGGTAGGTGGTGTTTTTTAACAGGTTTTAAGTTCTACAGAAACTGATGAGATTGCCAGAGAAGAGCTGGTATGGCATGTGACTGCATTATTTATTATTTTCCTTCTAGTAGAAGGCTAACTTCTGTTTTGAAGAGCTTATGCTTTATGACAACAAACAACATGTGGAAGATAAGACAATGGAAGACGTTACAAATATATACATATTTTAAAACAAATCTTTCTGTTAAATCGATACATAGCCTTTATACCCAACTACTCCTCTATCATTTCAGTATATGTACATACTGGCTCTGTTTGATTCCAGCCGTGACTCAGGCGCAGAGATTTTCATGAGCTTTTTCCCCACACTAGGGGTATCTGTCTCTGTTCCCTGAAAATCTCTTTCATCAAAGGCTGCAGAAAGGAGCAGCAGGTCTCTTGTTTCCTTTTTTTCTTTTCCAGCAAGTACAGTTGTATCTTGTTTGTAAAGGAGTGTAGAATGACTTCATCCAAAACCAAGCTGCTCACAGTACATTCTTGTGAGCTACTTTTCCTCCCCTCTGAGATGCTCTGACGTTACTCCAACCTTGGTAAGAAATTATCCAGCACTGCAGTCATGATGGTAGCGGGCTATCCCACAGGTTATGCAATTTTTCTTGATATTATAGAACCATAGAAAATTAAGATTGGAAGGGATCTCAGGGGGTCATCTAGTCCAACTCCCTGCTCAAAGCAGGATCATCCCCACCTATATCATCCCAGCCAAGGCTTTGTCTAGCTGGGTCTTAGAAACCTCCAAGGATGGACAGTCCACAATCTCTTTAGGTAGCCTGTACCAGTGTTTTACTACCGTTCTCTTGAGAAAGTTCTTCCTAATATCTAACTTAAACTTCCCTTGCTGCAACTTGAGACCATTGCTTCTTGTTCTGTCATCTGCCACCACTGAGAACGGTCCAGGTCCAAATAGGAAGTTAATCAACAGGAAGTTAATTTCAACCTTAAACATGGAGAGATATCTTCTTTAGTTTCCTGCATGGAGCATTCCAAAGAACAGACCAGTGCAATCCAGACAATTATCATTCCTAAACTTTGGACGCTTAAATCATTCTGTATTCCTGTTTTGTTTGTTTAAATACATCCTATATGAATTAGTAACTAGGTGTCAATGGTCATGGGATTGCTTGCATCCAGACCAAGTAGAACTTCAGACTTTTGTCAACTGGTTGTATTTAACTTATGTTCTATGAGGAAGAGGGGATGAAAATGCCAGATTATGTCTTTTAAAGTCTGGCTGATCTGTTGGTGGGATCATCTTCCTCTGCACTTGCTTGCTTTAAATGTTTCATTGCCTTCCACCATCACTCCTCTTCCTATTGAGTGAATAGAGTATTTCTTTTTGAAGGAGAAGGAGGGATCATAGATGACCTAGACACATAAAAGAGCAGAAATATGAGCTACAATTGTACAGCCTCAAAATTTCCTGTGACAGTGTTTCCACTCTTGATTTTCACAACCAATTCTACTACTTCCACTTTATCTGACATGCAGAGCAGCTACCCTTTCTACTCTTTCATTTCTCTCTTTGCGAAACATATGGAATCTTATGCAAAATAACCACAGTAAGGAACAATTTTATAATGTGACATAGTATTGTAAGACTCAGTGATTTGAAATAGTAATTACAACAAAAGCACAAGAGAACTATCATTACCAATTTTTTCACATGCGGATGGCTAAAGATAGGCTCCCAAATATGGGTGAAAGAAAAGCCAGGCTCATAATCTCTGATGTTTGCTGTTTCTGAAGATTCAGGCCCCCTGTCTGAGCACCAAAATATGGATGCAGGTACCTAAAGTGTGACCTTTTTCTCAAGTATCAATGCCTCATTTGTGGCTTCTGGAACAGTGATAGTCAACCACACAGAAGGGTTCAGTTTGAAGTCACTCACTGGGAGAAGGTTGAAGATGAAAGTTTGTATTCACAATCGTAAAATCCAAGCCATTATTACCACCAGGAGGTGAAGAGACAAAACAAACGCATCTGAGTCCTTTGCATTGCTGCTGCAATTAGGATGATGTGAAGGTTGACCTAAGAGCAAAAAAAAATGTATGTGTACAATCAGTAGTCAATAATTCCCTATTTAAAGACTTCCTAGGCTGTCCACTTCAGATGTTTGCCACCTTTTTAGTTCAGATTTGTGTCAGATTCAGAAACACAAATAAGGTCAACAGCCTGCTCCTTTCCTGCCTAGGTACTGGGGGTATATTGTACTAGTTCTGGATTCAGTTATTCTGGACAAAGCTAGTCATTCTTGAATAGTAGGGATAGTTTCCCTCCCAAAATACAAATGGGTATTTCACAACAGCTCTAAAAAATAAGTGCGTGATAGTAAAAATCACTGTAAATTTGAAACAGCTATATTTTATGAAGGGAATTTTTTTTTAAAGTTTGCATGCTCATCTGCATTTTAACTCATTTGAAAAATTCCATACAGCTTTTGGAGTTCATCAGTAAAGATACAGGATATAGGACTGCAGCAGAATCTTTTTCCCTCCATAAGACTGATGTACAAGACAATATATATAAATGTATAAAGCACATTGGTTGTGGTAATTTCTTTATGCTTTGGATTTTTTAATATACATTAAAGTGTTCTCCACTTCCACACCAGTAATATTTGTTTATACCTTAATGGGCTAACATTACCTAAAACAAAAAAGTATAAAATGCACAAATGGCCTTTCTCTGCTTAGGGTCCCAGATCAAGTACTTCTATTTACAGTCCTCAAAGAGCACATTTTAAAAATAAATTCCAGAGGATAAAGGCATTTTTCCTATTCTACTTAGGTCATAGACCTTCTCTGTAAAGACCAGGTTGTGTTCTATATAGATTTATATGCTGATCTTATGGCTATAGTCTCAAAGGACCTCAGAACAGTGTATTAAGTAACATGACTTACAACTGTCAGATTGTTCTTTTTCCCCATCCCCTTCCCAGAAGACATATTACGTACAAACATAATGTGTACAACTCTTTAATTTCTGCTCATCCTCAATATATCTTTAGCATGTAGGTATAAGATTGTAATGAGTTTTCTATCCAGACTAGAGCTTAAGCAAGTTGCTATTAGACTAGAAAGGGTCTGCTCTGAGCCCAAAAGTGGCAATACAACCATCCTAGGAATAGAATAGGATCTTGGAGAGTTTAAAAAAATGACAAAAGAAAAACAAAAGGATGTTTTGGAGGGGGGGAGGTATGTGTTTGTTTTGATTTGATTATGGCCTCTCCCCACACATGAAACAGTGAATAGCTGCCTGAACTCTTGGTAACTAAAGGAAAAGTACAGGTTCTTATCAGGCATCTCACTGTATTAGGTGGTTCCCAGAAAGAGTCTGAATGCCAGACAGGCTTCAGCAAATGGGGATAATTGTGACTGATGGAAATATAAAAATTGAAGCTAGTGAATGAACTTCTTTCTGCACTCATCAACATTTTCCAGGAATTTTATTTTTATTGTCCCAACTTTCTTTTGACATTTCAGGCTTCTGCCATAAAACTTGATACCATGTACTGTTGATTGGAGACAACTGCTAAGCTTTATTTATTTATTTATTTATTTATTTAGAGACTTCATTACAAAATACCAGAATTTTCTCACAAAAAAAAAAATCTATCTGAAAAAAAATGCTTCTGTTTTGGAGGAGGAGGAGAAATTGTCAGGAATTTTTTTGACCAGCTCTATTACATATTTCTCCTTTAAAATAAAGGAATGTGAGCATGAACTTCTACTCTTCTTCCTCCCTATTTCTGTATCTTAGTTTTGCTGTTGCCAGGAAATTTTCCCTTCCCATCAAATGAATGTGACCCCTGGGGGACTCGTCATCATTCATGTGGAATGTAACTAGCAAGAGAGGTCTTGTTGGCTTAGCTCTTATTTATTTATTATTTTGGTCTGGTAACTTTGTATCTTAGTCGACTGCAAGGAGCAACATTAAAGATGAAGGTCAGCACTCTGAAATTACCCCATTGTCCTCTGAGAGGCTGTTGGGTCAGGAGCACTTTTGCATTTTGTACTTTTTGCTGATTTTTAAATTTTGAGAGGGCCATTTCCTGCAATTTTAAAGATGCTTATTGCAAGTGACCTACTAAGTTGAGAGCTGCTTCTTCTAACGAGACCAAAAAACAATGTATTTCTTTGCGTTTGTTTAAGATTTTGGTGTTCTCTCTTTTTCTGTGGCCTGACAGTGATGTCATGGTGTGTGTGTGCATGCTTTGTCAGCTGTACCAGTTCAGGGCTACTGATTCGAGAATTGACTATGTTGTTGATCTAACATTAAATCAGTAAGGATGCCTCACAAAATGTAATAGTTTTATGAAGCAAATTAGGAATCTGAAAAGCTAACATCAATACTTCAGGCCAGTGGGGGCCAACCCTTTTGGCAGAGTGGCATAAAATAATCACATACCCTCCCCAAGTGCCACGCTGATCCTTTTCCCTTTCTTCTGCCTGTCATCCTGCTCTCTCTTCTGGTTCCCGCTCTGAACTCCCTTCCCAATCTGTTGCTATGCATTCTGCTTCATGCCCTGCAGCCCCTATATGATCTCTTGCTCTTTCCGCTTCTTGCCCTATCTGCTGTCTCTGTCCCCTCCATTATCTATTGCATGGCGCACACACAGGTTGTCCAAGCTGCAAGTTGGCCACTCCTTCTTTAGGCCATAATTAGGATAGGAAGGAGAGAATTTACTGAGGAAGATAGCTCAGAACTGGAGGACATTTGCTTAACGTACCATATTTCCTAACATGCAATATGCATTTTCTACCCAAATCAACACCCCCAAATTAGAGTATGTGTATTAAATAGGGAAGCTAATTTTCTGCCCAGGATAGAAGCTCCTTGCTTTGATTTTTGCTCTACGCTGCAGCAGCTGTGGTATTACTACCCAGGCAACTGAGGAAATCAGTTGACTTAATGTTTCATTGCTTTTCACTACGGAGGTGTTAACGATTAATGATCATCTCTCCTTTGAATAGTCTTGATATTCCTCTAATTAAGTTAACCTTTTTAGGGCAATTTTGCTGCCTGCTAGCTGCTCATGGCCTCTCTCCTCCTATTTCACAGCCCGGGAGACTATTTATCTTTTTTAAAAATCTTAGATCCACCCATGGAGACTAATCTTCAGCAGCAGCAAAGGCTTCAGCTTTAGTTAAGGAGGAAAGGGAAAATGAGTCAGTTAAAGATTAGGCCCTGTCCCTGCTCTGTGCATCCATAACTTACGAAAAAATATTTTTTTCTTCTTTTTGCCTTTCAAAAAAGAAGGTGCATGCTATTCGGGGTAGGGGTGGGGTGTAAGAAAATAGGGTACAGTTATTCTCCACTAGCTCTCCTATGCTAGAAACTCAGCACCCTGTCTTGTCTTTGATGTTCTGGAAGTACTTGGAGACAAACATGCAAGGGTCAAAGCATTTAATTTTCTTCTTATAAAACTAATGTATCTGCAAAACTCAGATTCAGATGTCATAAGTCACATGATCAAGAAGTTTCTACAAAGGACCCTAGTGCAGCCAATTATATAAGGTAAATAAATAAGTTTAGAATTTAGCAGCTGCATTGTACTACAGAACTGTACCAGGAAAAGAACCATTTCAGTTTTTCTTGCAAGGACTTACATGAAGACATCTGCCCTAAGTATTATTAAGGCATCTATTAATATATTACCCAAGTGCCTTTCCAAACCTTTTGATTTAACAGTTCATCCAAACTAAGGGTATTTATGGAGAAGTTCTTTTGTCCATTCTAAAACCCCAGTGGCTGCCCATTCGCTTGAACGTGTGTACATACGTGTGCCATATTAGCAACAACAACAAAAAAAGTAAGGGCTAGTGGCTGCTGGCACTGTAATTCTTTTTATTATGAGCTTGGACTATTCTAGTGGTAGATGTATTCTCATCTAGGAAGCAAATAGGAGTTTTTTTTTCCCATGCTGAACCCGTGTACTTCCTAACGGCATTTTGTTGGGATCAGTAAGGAGTATTGCCAATGAGAGACAAAACTGAATCTTTATTGGGCCTCCCTTGCTTAGAAGGGCTCATAATGAGTCATACAAATAAGGGGTGAAGGAAACCCTAGCTTACCCTATGGCTTTTTCAGTAGTGTATAACTTACCAAGGTAAAGAGAATTCCCTTCTTTTGGCTGGATATCTTGAATTTGAAAGAGAACAACATTCAAGTTAGTCATGTATATATAAGCAAGATGAAGAAATATGTTTCCTAGACAGAGCTGGGAAGATTTTTTTGGTATATTTGCCAAGGAACAGACTTTTTTTGGATATCGCAAAACAGCTCACAAAATAAGGTCAAATTTGATTAATAGCTTTGGCCAAAGATATGGGATAAAAATCATTTTAAAATTCAACATATTTTATTTTTACATTTTACATTTTTACAAACAAAATGGTTCACTTTGGAAATTACAAAATGTTTTATTTTGAGGCTTTCCAAATTACACTTAGATTTTTTATTTCAAAACATCATGTTCCCTTGAAAAATGGACCTAATTAAAAAAAATAAGTTTTAGGACAGTTTATATAATCTTTTGAAGAAAAAATTCTAGATATTGTGTTACATAAAACACTGAAGCAACTGTATTTTGTTTTTCCCAATGTTAGCTTCCCCACCCCCACTATTTTTGTATTCAGCTACCAAAAATTATTATCTTTTCCAGCTCTGCTCCTAGAGAACTACAATCTTTATGCAGTATAAGTAGTCAGCATTATTCAAGTATTTGTCACGACCTCACTTATTTTCATACAGAAGAAAAGATCTTTATTGCATATTTAATTAAGTCTGTGTCCCATGAGCTATTGAGATGGACTGACCTTGCTGCCTCCTTTTCTGTACAATGGATTTTCTCTTTACTTTTCAGCAACTCAGATAAAGTCACAGGTGCAAAGGTGCAAATAATTAATCTGAAAGTATACAGACTCTTTTTCTGCACTCATATCAGTGAGTCTTTTCATCAGCTCCACTGTGCTTTGTCTCTGGCCCATGCAGGTCAAGCTAATCTTGCTTCATTGACTGTCATTCCCCATGCCTTCCAGTAGCAAAAGGAAAGGGTGTACTCAGTAGCATTTGTAAATATCAATGTCCAAATTCTGGAAAAAGTTTGAGGTATGTTTTCTTGTCAGTGTCATTAAAGAGGGGAAAGTGGGTGGGATCCTTCTTTGGACCATTGGATCCTATAAAGATGTGCAACCCTGAAGCTTCCCAAATGTTCTCCATCTTTCCTTCCTCATCCCATATCTCATTCTTCCAATAAAATCACAGACTGGAGAGATTAAAACTTGGAGGAACTTAAATTTGAAAAACTGTAATCATCCCTAGCAGAAGCAACATGCAATTCCATCATTACAATAAGCTCAGTGGAGAATCATCCCTCTTCGCTCCCTCCCTTTAAGTTCAACTGTTAATAGTCTTACCTGAGACATTCAGTCTAACTGCATGCTTCCCTATTGCTCTGGTCTCTCCATTTCTGTAGATGCAGGTATACACAGCTTCATCACCATGCTGAACTTGAGAGAGTATTAGAGAAAAGTTACCATGCTCCAGCTGATCCAAAAAGAGCCTGGTTCGGTTCTGATATCTTTTAAGCTGATTGTTCAGTGATTCTGCCCCATTATGAAAAAAATGCACTACTGATGACTCAATCTGCCAGTATATTGAATACTTCTTCATGTCCAGTTTTTCAGATGTCTGATTGGCACAAGGCAGAATAGCAGTGTCTCCATTGATTGCTTGGTACAAAGTTGGTTGAGGAAGCACTGTAATAATAATAAAAAATGCTGTGTGAGAAAAAAGGTTGATAGTGTCAAAAGAAAACTCCTGAGAACTTTGGAGCACCTGAACTTTCTATTTCTTACCTCTCAGAACTTTTGATCTAAATTTATCATTGACTGTAATGGTAGCGTACCAACTTCTGACACCTTGAAAACAGAAGCTATCTGCCACCAGTAGTAGATGTAGTGGATTCCGCTTTATAGAATCATTGGTTAATAGAATCAGCTGCTTATTTGAATCAACATGGGAAAACCAAAACCATTTGTATATTATTACATGTAAAAATCACTCATATTAGAATCACAAGTTTTGGGTTTTAGGATCATTTTACCAGAGAAGCCTGGGGATTTTGCAGCTTTGTGAGGAGGCCTCTGCAGACTGGCAGAGTTCCAGCCTGCAGGGGGCTGGGTGCGGAAGGGAGGGAGCGGGAGGAGGGCAGTCAAGCAGGGGGCACCATGGGCATGTACTTTACAGCCTGGAGAGCAGCTCCCACAGGTAAGTGTGGTGGGGTGGAAGGGGCGGGGAATTGAGCCCCCGTAGGGAGGGAGGGATGGAGTTGGGCAGGGCTGGGACCCCAGCAGGAAGTGGGATGGGTGCCAGGCTCCCTGACAATGAACTCCCTGTGTGCATGGTAGCTTTGAGGATTGCAATCCCACATCATTGCCCTCCCTGCCCATGCCCACCCCCACCCCACGCACAGATTTGTGGGGCATGGGTCCCTCCCTGTCCCTCCAGGAGTGTATGCCACACTGGGGAGCTGGCTCCACCTCCCTCACCCAAGCCCGCAGTGACCAGCAGCAGGTGGGGAGCTGGGCTCTGCTCCAGTGCAGCAGCCGTCGCCTCCTGCCGGGGTAAAGGGGCTGTGGACTCGGGTCCCTGGCAGCTGGGGCCCCCCTCCGGCAGGGCTGGTGGGTCAGGGGGCTGTGGGTGGGGGCAAGGGGCACCAGCAGGGCTGTGGGGACTGTGGGGGGCAGAGGAGGGGTGAGATGCCTGAGGAAGGCTAGGGGGCTGTGGGGGAGGAGTGAGTATCTGTCGTTTTAAAAAAACGGGTCTCCTTTTAATGGAATCAGCTGGTTAATAGAATCAAATCACCATTTCCCAAAGTGGTTCCAATAAGAGGAATCTACTGTACCTTCTACGTTTATCTTAGGTATTTTGAAGTCTCCTACTAATTGCAGCACCTGGGTGCCTCATACTTTTTAATGGAATTATCCTTGATAAATTTTATTAGCTCCTAAATTTGGAAAATATCCGTCTTGAGGCTTATTTTCTATGATATAGTATGGATTTTAACAAAAGGTAAAGATAGCTATTGCACTTCCTTTTTGATACAGGGGATTGAGTTTCCTGTTCTCCATGGGCCTGGCCTACAGTCTGAATAGGATTATGGCAACTGATGGCCCCTGGAGGGGCTAACTGTCCTTTAATAAATACCTGTCGGTTTGCTCACTACTAGAGTTCATTGCAGCTATTTATCTGGAAGTGATATGACCACATTTGAGAATCAATAATAGAAAAAAACAGGTCAGTAGAGCTAACTAAGTGACCAGTCTTTTAAAAATTGTGCCACATCCTAGGCACCTACAATGGCTTCTGCATCTATACTCTATGGGAGTCCAGAATAGTTCACTCTGTTTTAGTTTGTTACATTTATTCATAGGACCTATGAAAACCCCAGAAAGCTGGAATTTTAGCAGGTCTATGTATTTAGGGATGTGCCCTCTGCCATGGGGATATCTGAAGGAGTGTGAGAGAGTGAAACTCTGTGCTTTCTATATGGGTGCTCTCTAAAGATGATGGACTCAAGCAGAGACTGTAAAAAAGAGTCTCCACACCCAAATGCAAATGCAGTCCAAAGCTGAGACAAACCATGCTAAGTGGGTTTAACAAATGAAAGGGGGAAGTGCCCAGTATGATTCCTGATCCTATTAATTTTTTAAACCTTGTCTTCCAGATTTTTTAATATATTGTAATTTCCATGGGTGTGTTTGTTATGAGAAATGAATGCAAAGGTCAGTCAAACTTGAACCTTTCCTGGCTGCTGTTCCCCCTGTCACCAAGTGTGCAAGCCCTTACTAGCCAGGACAGGGATGATGGAGGGCAGGGGGTCCAGTTGCTTTTGCCCTGTTGCACCTGCAGTTGGTGTCAGAGGAGGAGTTAAAAGGAGAGAGGGACTTGCTCAGCTGGGCATTGACCAGGAAGATGAGTGGAGTTTAGCTTTTGCTTTCCTCTAGGAAAAGCTTCACTGTAGCCAGGAATTTTGGCTATTTTGCTGATGGGCAAGTCTCCTTCAAGAGGATGACTACATCTGCAGAGACTGACTGAAAGTGCTTAGATAAAGATTGGGCCTGTGTAAAAGAGTGGTACCCTGCCAGAGACTTTCCAAAGGATCCTATTTTGAGTTCCTCGTTTTTCCCCCCTCTTATTCTGGGTCCTTCCTCCCTTGGAAGGAATAAAGCTGGAGAAGTTCATAGCCAAGAGATGGTGCTTCTGCACTGAATTCTGGGACAGACAGTAGCAAAGCGCTGGAGGCTCCAAGGTGGGGTGAGTAGCGTCCTATTAGACTACAGTTTTCTCTCATCCCTGCCGTTTCCATCTTGTCCTCTTTGCTCTATATGCAAAAAACATTGTACACCACTCGCAACCCTGGAAACAGTGGATGTACAGATATAGTGTTTACTCTTGGATTCAGCAGTTCTTCCAGATAAGAATCTTTTTTAAAAAAGAGTTGTTGTTGTTAACACTAGTGAGACCTTTAATGGGTCAAATTGAAGATGAGTTTGTTATGCTTTTATTATTGTATTCTGATGCATAATCCTCTGGGATTCCTGTTCTGTCATAAGTATTACAGTACTGCATTAATGTCCCCTGGTTCACTATTGTGTGTCAATGCAAATCCAGTAGAAAATGGGGAAGCAAATAATTATAAGCATGGGAAGTGGGGAGAGGAAAGAAGGTTTTAGAAACGAGCAATGTTGAATGTGTCTTTTGGATGTAATAGGCAATGTGTCTAACAGTTCATGAGGTTAGTGGAACAGAAAATACGCCTGCAATAAAGGACAAAACACCAATCCATTTCAGTGCTAAAAGTAGTGCATAGTGCACTTCTTCCTTGTCTCTTTGGTTGCTTAAGTTGTGTCATGTAGAGGGTTAGTAATATCTCATTTCCCTAAAAACTCTATGCTACTCTTAAATGTAACATGGGATGTGTGACAGATCTGAGCATCTGCAGGCTCAGCACCTCATTCAGAAGAACTGAACTTAAACAGCTTCAAAGGAAGAGTGAATCAGAAGTTTTATTAAACTTTCCAGTGTCTTAATGGTGGGTTGCCGTGACCCATGCATCAGTTAAGGTGGTATCTATTTGGCAAAAGAAACGCTCTCACCTCACAACATGGGGACTGACAAGGTGTATTAAAAATTAGAATTGTGTTTTTAGCATGGTGAGACAGATCAAACCTGTATGAGGGAATCCTCCCCTGACCTATTGCAAAGCCTTTGGAAAATAATGGTGCAAGCCTTTTTATAATTGTTCCAAACAGAAAAGTTACTTCATATGCCAATTACCTTGCAGATAATTTTCTTTTTAAGTATAAATTCTTCATGTTTGGGGTTAGGCCTTCCAAACAGCCACCCAGCTCTTACCAATAATTCAATCCAGTAATAGTATGGCGCACTGCATTTATATAGGGTCATAAATTATGAAGCGCCAGGGGCCTTTGGATCAGGCACTCATATTTCACTGTTATTCCCTCTACTGAGTCCAATAACTTGATACAGTGAACACTTGAAATAATCAGAGAGAGGTAGTTAGCTATGTTAGTCTGAAGGCAGGGTAGGGTGGCACCAAACCAATTAATCTTTGAAGTGCCACATGCTCCTGTCTTTTCCCTGATCTTCTTTGTTGAGGAAACAGATCTAAGAGAGCTGATTCTATGGAGTGCAATTCAGAATGATTTCATAGATGTTAGGGGCTGGAAGGGACCTTACAGATCATCGGGTCCAGATCCCCTGCACTTGGTTGGACTATGACATGTACATTCAGAACCTGTAACATTAACAATGCTCTGAGAACCAAAAATATGTTAATCTGCACTTTGTAGCTACATATGCAAAAACTCAGTAATTCAGGTTGTGGTATACTTACCACCAGGTACAAACCACAGTAGTAAGCAAGTGATCAAGTGAAGGACACCTGCCCTGTGTAATAAGAGAAAACAAATTTAGAATGGTCTTGGTTCTGCAACTTGGACAATTGCTTTGTTAATCTAATACATTTGGTACTTGTTAAATTGCACCTCTAGCCTACACCATGCATATTGCTATTATCTATATACAAACTATTATAAATGTCATAGTTTAGGATCTCAGTTGCATTCTTTTACAACTGGGGTTGCGGGTGGGGAGCAAGATGTCAGTCATGGCTTTTTTTTTCTTTCTAGACCTAAACTTTCCCACATTGTGGGTTTTATTTTGTTGTTGTTGTTGTTGTTGGGGGTGAGGGTTTGGGGGGGCGGGGATCTGGTGCACCCAGTCTGTTTTATCTTTATTGTGTTTGTCTGATCAAGGCTGAAACACCAGGAATTGTCATTACTATTTTTAACTAACTCTGCAAATGCTTCCACCACCTGACCAGCTGCAATGCATCAAAAGGGTTACTAGGTTACCTCTTCATTTTTGCACCAGTTGCTGCAAATCCTCTCACTTCATTAAGTTTTCCATGTGTGCCTCCTCATAGAATGGTGATGCCTCTGTGGAATAACAAGGTGAGAAAGACATGATCTCTGCTGTCAGGACTTTAAGCCAAAGGAGAGAGAAGGAAATTCTTGTTATCATAATTTGCTATACTACTATGTTTTGATTCCTCTCTTTCCCCTACAAATAAAATGAAGGAGTTTTAACTTTTTAGCACCATATAGGATGGGGAAGATTCACAACTCTCCAGAGGCCCAAGCGTGGATCGTCAGCCCATAATGGGGCTGCCTATGAGACATCCACCTGGGATTAGAGTTTAACCACCACGTTTAGTGCACTGCTTAGACTAAATGACTCTGCCAAGCACTGAACCAGCTGCACATCTGCAGGTGCAGTTAAAGCTGCATGGACTGCTTCAGTTTAAGCGAACTCCCTAGTATATTCCCCTTTCCCCTCCCCCTCCCCTTTTTATAATGGTTAAATTGAACCAATCCTCATTTCTCAAGATTGTCGCAACCCCGCCAAAGAGAAGACACTGCACTTCCCCCCAAACCTTTATGATTCAAGGAGGAGCAAATGTTAGAAACATAGTAGTTCTTCAGTGGTACTAGGGCAGGGAGGGCTGTGGAGCAGATACTGGTGAGTCAATGACATGGGGCCAAAGCCTGCCACAAACTACACTGTCATCTGCTGCTGCTGGTGAATTATGCATGCGACTTCCAAGAGTAGATATGGCCTTTAGAGTAAACCCCCAAAGAAGCAGTGAACAAACGGTACTGGTATTCTTGTACTTGTGTTCCAAAGATGAGTTGTAAGAGAGGCCTGTTTTTACCATTTTCCCTCCTCTGTTTTGCTAACCCTAACTATGCATAATTTCATTAGTACTTGGAATATAGTCTTCAATATTGCAATGTTTTGTCCTGAATCTTGTGGCTGCTTGGGCTGATCTGAAGGCAGAAGCCAGCAGTAGAAAGAGCCCAGGCAAATTATGAGAGAGAAGCTTTTTCATCTTTCAGAGGCAGGGTGGGATTGATTCCATCCGCAAATCTTTTTTGACTTCCTTTACACCACCCCTCCTGCATGACAATAGGCTGGGTTGCAGAGAAAGCTGACTCATGGGAAACTAACAGTTTCTTGGTACAGAACATTTCAAGCTGAAGCAAAATGCCAGTGGTTAAATTAGGGATTGTGACGCCCTCTTTAAGGCAAAGTAAGCTGGGGAGCTCAGAAAGCACTGAGAGGATGAAGCAGCTTCCTTCCTCAGCCTTGGAAAAACTCTTCATGCCCAGCATGAGTAACTTGTTACCAATTACTGAATACAAGTTCTCATTTGTTCGTGTTTTGTTATGGGGGAAGCAAGTCGATGTTAGGTGTGGGCTGAGCAGCTTTCCTGACTGGATTCCTTTCTCCCTAAGCCCCATCCTGGGTATGTGGACCTAGACCCTTGTTTGTAACCATCTTAGATGTCTTATTGTGCATGTTTATAGGTGGATCCTTGTGCTTTCCTTCCTGTTTGTGAATGCTATGGCCTTCCCTTATATGTAAAATAATACAAGGACAATGTTCCCTGAGCATTTTGCCCTTTCTTCCCCCCATGTTATCTTAGTAAAGGCACCAAGCCACTGGAGGTCAGACCAAGGATGGTGGTGATTCTATGCCTATGGAGGGACTTTACATGGGGGACAAGTGCCTGCAAAAGGGTAGTAGTAGCTGGGAAAACAGACTCCTGAGAACAAATAAAGATCTGCTAGAAAGGATACAACTGTATAGTCTACAGGAGATAGTACTGTTTTAATAGTTGTCATTTATTTTTTTTCCTTTTCACTAGGCACTTTTCCAAAGCCTGATGACTTCAGTGTGTTTTGAAACTTGGCAACCTTTCCATTTATCATGCCATGTAATGCAAAGGCAGTGTATTTCTAAGGCCTGGGCTTTTGCTATCTTTTTTCTGAATCTTTACAGCTCTAATTGGTTTGCTTCTGTGAAACGTCTTCTTGGGACTTTTCCCCAATTTTGTTTATCCATATTCATGAGAGAGAAGGAGCCTCCTAATGCAAGCCTTCTCCAGTGGTGGCAGGAGAAAATATTATTTGGGGCTGGGGGCGTGGAGGCCAGTGCAGGGTAGTCCAGGGCCACCACTTCCTCCTGGAGGGCCGTTGAGGGGCCAGCATGCAGTAGGGGTGCTGGGCATGGCGCTGTAGTGGCAGGGCATGGCAGTGGTATTGAAACAGTGGAGTCACATTTGGGAGTACTAAGCCCTGTTAGCCCTGGCTTTCCATCCCCTATGGCCTACTCAAGCCTAAGCACATGAAAGGTATCTATCACTTTGTAGTCTAGTTGCCTATCTAAAGGTACTTTCTAGTTCTTACTTTTTTAAACTTAAATTGGCTTTGCACTGTTTCAACTATGACAGTGCAAACTGATGCATGGATCTTTTTATTTTTGTGTAAACCATATTTATTCCAGTTTAATTTTAATTTTAAATGGTTTCCTAGATCAGTTAAATTGAAAGAAGACATTTTGGCCAGGGACACTAGTAACACGTAAATTGATATAAGTGATTGGAAACTGGTTTAAACCTGTAACAGAACAGAAGTTCAGTGCATGCAGGCCAATTGCAAAATGGTGGGACCTGGTTTAAGATAGAGCTGGAACAATCTAGTATCAGACTTAATCAGTTTAGGTTAAAAGAGTCTATCAAACTTCTGTTCCAGATTCCCACCCAACTCAAGTTATCTCACAGTCCCTTAGCATCCCAGGATGCTTTCCAGCTCCCTGCTAACCCTGCCTCACAGGGCAGGCAGGTTAGTGAGCCAGCTGTTCCTGCCCCCAGGCTGTTACAGTCCAGAGGCAGCAAAGCCTCTGGTTCTCAGCCCAGCTGGCAGGGCACACGGGGGCCAGCAAGTGGGGAACGCTGCAATATTTCCTCTAAGGCACGGGTGAGCAAAATGCAGACTATCATTGAACCAGTCTGCAGGGTTGGGGGCAGGCTGTGTTGCAGAGCTTCCTGAAGTATGCAGACCCCATCTGCCAGATCAAGGGGGCTCTGTTTTCCACCCTTGCCAGCTGCCCCCCCCGGCTGCCATGCCACCCAGCTAGGGTGAGGTACAGGGGAGGGTCTGGTGACTGCATGGGGTTGTGGGGCATGTGCCTGACAGCCAGCTGAGGATGGGCCTGCTCAGCTGTCCTGGGCTGATCTGCATGCTGGGAAATGAGAGATGTGCAGGGCACCCTGAGCCTTCTGGCTTGGCCAGTGCAGGCATTTGCTTCCTCCCCGCTTCCCCTTTCTCCTCTCCTGATGACTGAGTTCCCTTTGCTTTTGATTCAGTCTTTGTAGCTTAAAGAAACTCATGAAGGTTAGACCAAGGCAAAAACCCTGATCCATAATTAGTCTTTGGAATAAGTTTCTAAGTAAGGGGGTTTCATTAAATCAATTTAAAATAACATCTTGAGTTAAGATGGTGTCACTTTCTTGCCTAGAGCAGGTTTAGGAGGATATTTCAGGTAGTTAGTATTTTTTATGTAATTAGACAAGATTTACAATGGAAGTTTCCTACTTGTTTCTACTTGTTTCTGAAACATCACATAAAATGTAACAAACAAACTTTTGGCTCTAAGTCCCTTGTTCCCCTTCCTCTTGATGTTTCTTAAAATTGCAAAATGGAACAATGTTTTCTTTGTTATAGCTTAATAAAGGAATTTTGAGACTTTTTAAACACAGGGTTAAAAATTGGGTGGCATTTTCAAGGAAGCATAAAGGCAAGTCAGTCTCTTGTATTACCATATCATGTAACTGGAGGGAGGCTTTTTGTTCTAATTTAATAAATGGAAAAGCATTACTACAGCATTTAAAGTTTACCTGGTACCCAAAAAATAGAATAAAGGGAAAGGGGGACAGATATCTCGAACCATACACATTTGTCCACCTTTTTCCACTAAAAAAAAAAAAAAAGGTAAGTAAAACATTCAGCTTGGCTTATTGAGGTACTGCTTTCTCTCCTAATTTTAACATCAAGATTTAGATGCTGAACTTCTACACTCCAATTAACATGATGGAGAAAAGACATTTAGTTTTGGTTCCCAACCCCCTCTGCTTGCCTCATCTGTGCAATCATTCTACCTTGATATCTAAACAGAGGAACATGAAAGCTGAATGCACAAATAGAGCTCAACATCTAGCCTCTTGGAGAGAGCTCTGATGATTCAATAATTTATACTGAAACCTGGCAATATTCCCAGCCTTCTCTTCTATGCAGAGGACCTATAAGGGTAATGATAAATTCACTTTGAGTGGCTTTTGCAACAGTTCAAAGTTGGCCCAGGTGCACCTCATGTGAAGAACACAGTGGGCAAAATCCAAAAGGATAGGAGATCCTACTGTCCTTAAAGAAAAAAAGAGAGCATGGAGTAAATGTGATTAACTAATCTGGAGGTAACTTTCTGGGGACTTCCAGGTTGTGGGCAGGGCTTTGGCAGGTACTGCTTTATTTATTCTACCTATCGCACAGTGCAATTTTTCAGCTACTGAGAGCCTTGGCAAACAAGCTGCTATGGATGCATCCAGTTTCAGAGTGATCTCTGCTGTCTTGAGCTGCATGCTAGAAATGGGTGATTGTCAACCTTGTTAGACTCGAAGTACAGTTCAGAAAATGTCAGCTCTTAGCTTTTGCTTGTATTTTTTACTATAGAAAAGTAACGGAGCAGTTCCTTGGTTGCCAAGGACTCAGACCACAGCAGGTCAGATGGCTGTTAACACTATGGATTCCTATTTGCAGTCTCTGAGTGTGTTCCCACATACAAGGGCATGTGTTTGCCGCAGCAAAAATAGCAGCAGCACAAATGTATGCTGATGCTTTTTGCCATTGTACACACCTTTGTACGTGGGTTTTGGTGTGGAGCAAAATGCCCTACTTTGGGGAAATGGCTATGCGCTGAAGGAGCTGGGGTGGAGCTAGAGGAGGGGTGATGCTCTGCCAGCAGCCAAAGTATCTCCCTAGAGGACTGAACCTCCATGTCTGCCATCAAGTGCTCCTGTGGCATGTACCACGCCACTCTT